CATTTCCTCTCCACTTAAGCCCCTGGCATTAGGTCCTCATTTTTCCCCTTTCCCCCTCCCTCATGAGCCCTTGATAGTTTATAAATTATTATTTTGTCATATCTTGCCCTGTCTGATGTCTTCCTTCACCCAAAAAGTTCGCTTTTTTAATGGGTTGTGAAAAACAACAAAATTGTCTTAAGAATGTGCAGCACAGGCTCCAGGTGGCCTGAAAAATCTGAAACTTGACTGTCGTGTCCTTTTCAGAAAAAAAAAAAGAAACAAGTTTTCTGAACCTGAACTTGAGGACAATAAGTGGTTCCTTTGCTTGGTCCTTATTCTTAACTATGTATTATATGCAATATATCGTCAGTAGTGAATCTTTATCTTTTTTGAACAACACAGAAATTTGGAGGCCTGTGTATTTTTAATGGTATTTGAATGCGAATGATGTTTCTTCTTTCTTTATGTCACTGTAGGAAATTCTACCTTATAAGAAGAAAAGGTTCCATTTCATAAATAATGAAAATAGAGTTAAATGTTTCAAAGCCTTTTAAAGGTTAGACTAGACATAGCACAGGACTGACTGCCTGTCAAAGTTTGAATGAGTCCCTAGAGAAGGACTCATCATACGTGGAAAGTGGAGAGTCAGCCAAACAGATGAAAATTGTCAACGAGATTTTTGACGAGAGGTTTGCCAACGAGAGGTTTGGCAATGGCTCTAACAGTGGGCTTGACCATGGCAGTGATTGTGAAGGAGCTGCAGGTACAGGCCGTGTTCCGTGCAATTGTAGATTGGGTTGCTATGAGTTGGGAGGTAACACATGCTGTGAGTCCGATGCCATCTGACAGCAATCGTGCCATGTGCTGTGATTTACACAGAGTTGACGTAGATCTGTGTTTGGTGATGGACTTCCTGCATGTCTCTAAATCTCAACCTCTTCATTTATAAAAAGAAAGTAGCAATAATACCTACTTCACATGGTTCTGATGAGATCTTGATGAGCCTATCCACAAGCATTTAACCTACTTTCCCTAACAGTCATATTTTCTTGAGCCAATGAAGTATTTTCTGAAACAAAGAGTATGCATGTATGCAAATCCCAGCTTTGCTAGTTTCACGATATATGTTACTCTATTATTCTGGGTTTCAGTTTATGCACATAGAGAGACTGTAGTTGTATCTAGTAGTATTTATTAAGTGAACATGTTTGTAAAGCGAAACAACTTTAGTGCATACTAATTGACCAACCCTCAACCAGTTATCACAGTTCATTCCAACTCATGGCAACAGCATGTGTTTTAGAATAGAACTGTGCTCCTACCCATATGATTATCACTGTTTCATAAATATTGGCTATTCCCTTTTATCATTTCATTGACTATAGATGACTTTAGTACCTTACAAAAATGTAGATGTATAATATGGAAACTAATAAACCTAACTGGTCCTGATTTAAAAAAAAATGCCTTTGTTCTTGATTAACTGTTAAACACTGATGGTTTACGTCACACTTCGCGAGCTGTACTAAAGTTGGTTTTAATTGGGCCTCCCCTCACAGAAGG